GTCGTCCGTAAAGATATGGGCGGAATTTCTGTACGGCCTAAACTACAGTCAGACATTCCTGTTCTGTGATCGAGTAGTTTCGTTCGGGGATCCGTGAGTGCGCGACTGGCAAAGGTGATTACTCTTTCTCGACCAGTTGTGTCACGTTGTACGAGGACGACACCGATGCCATGGCCGCTAGCGTCAGTGTGCAGGCAGGTAGGGGCATGCTCGTCGAAGTGACCGAGGACTGAGTCATATGTCAGTGCTGCCTTTAGGGTGTTAAAAGTAATGTCACAATCGGATGTCCAAGAGAAGGCTGTTCCGGACGCCAGAAGCTTGTATAGTGGCGATGCCATGGAGGCAAAGCCGCGAATGAAGCGGCGGAAATAGAAGGCAAGACCAAGAAAACTTCGTAGCTGCTTTGGATTGTTGAACTGAGGGAAATGCGTAACAGCCTTCACCTTGACAGGATCTGGTCGAACGCCATCTTTACTAACACGGTGACCTAATACTATGATGTTTTTGAGGGCGAAATGGCATTTTTTCGTATTAATTTGCAGCCCAGCGTTAAAAAGACGTGTAAGAACTTCATCTAGCCACTCAAGATGCTGCCAGAAAGTGGAAGAAAGAATTACGATATCATCCAGATAACATAGACAGGTTTTCTACTTAAGGCCACGATGAACGGTGTCTATCATACGCCCAAATGTTGATGCAGCATTGCATAAACCCAAGGGCATTACGTTGAACTCATAGAGGTTGTCGTGTGTTGCAAATGCTGTCTTGTTTTTGTCTGCTTCATGCATAGGTATTTGCCAATACCCTGAGCGGAAATCGAGGCTTCAGAAATATTTAGCGCACTGGAGGGAGTCAAGCGCATCGTCAGTTCGTGGCATCGGATATACATCTTTGCGCATGATATTATTTAGAGCACGATAATCAATGCAAAATCGTACCGAGCCATCCTTCTTCTGGACCAGCACAAAGGGCTACGACCAAGAACTTGACGATGGCTGAATCGTGTCACGTTTCAGCATGTTAGCGACATTTTCCTTGATGATATCGCGCTTCGCGGCAGACACGCGGTATGGTCGGCGGCGTACAATGGAATTACCCTATGTTTCGATACGGTGCTCTGCGACGGACGTGCGCCCGAGAAGGTTGGCCTGGACGTCGAAAAAAAGCACTGTGTTTTTAAAGTAGTGCCAAGAGAGCCTCCTTTTGCACTGCAGAGATCAGGATTTATGGTACCAATTAAAGCAGTGGTTGTTGCATGGTCTTCGTTTGCAACAGGCGACACTGGTACATTGTTATGAAGGAGCATGATGGCAAGAGGTTCGGTGTCAGAAAAGCAGGCCAACCGGGTACTTTAAGGGAGAAGTGGCGAAGATGTAGGGTTACGGGCAGTCATCAACGCTCGGCTGTCACTAAACCTGACCAAGCTAGGGGCAATAACGATCTAACCATATATCGAGCGATCATATGGAGTGCGAGAAACACATCCCCATTAATGATCGTATCGGACGTTAACGTCAAGACGTTCTCGTCAAGACGTTCTCGTTGTCAGGTGGAATGGGAGAATCGGCCGCCGTGACAAAATGAATTTGGCAAGTATCATCATCAGATGAATATTACGTAGACATCATATGAACTACCCAATGATGGCAAGATATTACGGCCGACGCTGCGAAAGGAAGTCCCATCCTTGAAGTGCGTGTGGACATGACGACAGCACTAGAAATGAAATATGATGAAGAATGCAATCGATAAAAACTCTCGCTGTGCACACACCGACGGGCCGGACAAGTACTACATTGGCACACCGAAGAGGAGGACCAGTATACGGCATCTTCACTTTGCGCAACCGAGGACACAGTTCAGTACTAATGACAGAAAATGCCGCACCTGCGTCTACCAATGGTTCAGTCCATACACCTTGAATACATACTAACATGGCATGTGAGGGCTGCTGCGGAGGAATTTAACTTGTCCTGAAACATGAAGCTTTCCCTCCCAAAGCTGCACGTCTTAGTTTTCTGAGCGGTGCCCCGGGTCGAGGTAGCTGGTCGTGGAGGTGAAGAGAAAAGGCGCATCGGTGACAGAGAGCAGCGACGCGGGAAACGAGAAGGATCGGCTCCTTCGAAGCTCTGTGGGGATGGCGAGTAGTGTTCGTACTGCCGATAGGGTCGACTGTTTCATGGTATTGGACCAGGCCACTCGTCTCTTTCATAGTAGTCGTAACTCCGCCTTTCATCCTGTTGACGGAGTCGGCAAACGCAGGAGATATGACCACGAATTTCACAATAATAGCATACAGGCCGAGGTGGCGACCAGGAGTTTGGAGGCGGAAGCAACGGTCGTGGTGAGAGAGCAGTCATCTAGCCGTGAATTGGAGACGTGTGGGGTGGTGCCTGAGAAGAAGGCGCCAGCACCACAACTTATAAATAAGTTGGGTGGGGTGGTGCTTGAGAAGAAGGTGCCAGCGCGGCAACCTGTGGATAAGTTGGCGTCAGTACAGGGTCATGCCTGGGTACTTCGGTAGACCTCATGGCGACAAGTTCTTTTCTGATGATGTTGCGGAGGCTGCTACCAGGCGACGGCATACGGGGCTCAAGAGGGGAAGGCACAGCTTGTGCTTGAAGTTCCTCTCGTATGATGCTGCGGATCAATGCACATGTCAGAGGGTGCGCTCAGATGAAACGTGTCAGGTTGCAGACATAGCAGATAGGGGTCATAAAGGCGCTGACATGTTGCGACAATTAGGAAGACAGTTGCGGGGGTTCTGTACCGCAATGCGTTGAATGCCGCAGCACCAATGCCTTTGAGGAGATGGTGCACCTTGTTGGTCTCGGTCATTGAGTTGTTCACTCGACGACAAAGGGCGAGGACATCTTCACTATAGGACATGTACGACTCGCCGTTTTGCTGGACACGCTCCGCTAGCTTTTTCTTCGCAATGTCTGAGCGAATGGAAGCGTTCACCAAAATCTTATGTAGCTGGCGTTTAAATGAAGCCCAGTCCAGAAAGTCCAGTTCATAATTAAAGAACCAAGTTTTTGCGACACCGGTCAGGTAAAAGAAGATGCGCTTAGCTTCGCATATTCATCCCAGTGGTTGAGGACAATCGCCCGGTCGTACTTCTGCAACCAGTCATCGACGTCGTCACCACGAAGGCCGGCGAATACTGGTGGATCCTTCTGCGGCATGGTAATCAAGCAGGAAGGAGGTGTTGTCGAGGCAGACGTCGTGAGTGCTGCCGCGAAAGAGCCCTCGTCTTGTGACATTGCCGAGGTCAGTTGGGGCAAACGGCGACCGGAACGAAGCTCCAGTGGTGTATTGGAGGTTAAAGGCATAAAGGCAACGGTAGAGCGAGAGGACTGGGTGACCGGACAGCACAATCAACCACTTGAGAGACAATTTTCAAGCCTCCAAAACTCTTCTCTATTCACACTTGAGCAGAAGCCCCTCTGCCTAGACCCAAGCGGTGATGATGAGTATTTACAGGTGAGAAGGCGAATAATATGAATAGTGCTAACAGTATGCATAGTGCTCACTATATATAATAAAGGAAAAAGAGTGTACTTAGAGGCTCGTTTTTTCCGTATTTTGACACAATATTAATGAGATCTAACAGTCAATAATGCCAAGGAAAGTATAGAGGAAGTTATTAGACCAATTGTAATGTAAATGTGAAGAAAGAAAAGTGGGTGAAAAGATAACTTGCAGTGGGCAGGAACCGATTGTGCGACATTTGAATTATGCTTTCGATGCTCTACCACTGAGCTACCACGGCGGCTATCCTCCCAGCCACTTTATTGGGTATATATGTGAATTTTAACGTGGGAGTGTCAGTCAGCACCCTCAGTAGCCATGGCGGCGAGTGTGCCACACTCCTTATGAGCCTGTGTGAGGTGGGGCACCCTACCTGAGCCTGTGCGGCACCCTACCATGCACTGTATTTTGAATTTTGTTTTCATCTCTTTTACGTCAAATTTAAATGCATTCTAGGGCAGCGCCCTTGTTCTGGAAGCACGCGACCGCAACTGGAAAGACAAGAGTGCTGTGGTAGGATGGTTTTACCCTGTCTGTTCTTCGCCGGAAATGCACCAATAATACATTCACAACGAGGCCCCAACTAGAGAAAAGATCCTTGGCGCGGTACAAAGGATCTTCAGTAGCCCACGACATGGGGCTACCGAAGCAGCTGAGTGCCGGAACGATGTACAGGATTCGTGGGCTCTGCAACGGCGCGAGGTTGCCACTATATGTTTCCTGAGCTGTGGAGCGTGTGGGCAGTGGGCCACTGAAGCCTCTGGTAACCACCCACTCGTCGCACAATTGACATTTTGCGACGCCTGGTGTTGCTTTAACTGTTTTACCATGCTACATTGCACATGTTAACGTGATTTTCTGCCCGACACAACGCTTCTACAGGACCTTTTGCGAAGGAGTTTCAAGTACCAGCATAGCTTTCTGAAGCAATACTCGACTGCCACCGAGAGGGCCCGGGTACAAATCCTGCTTGACCCTGTTTTTTTAGGGACAAAGCTCCTGATGGTCTAGGCTTGTCCATTGGCATTGTATGCCATAGCCCCCAAAACAACCAGGCAAATGTGCCCGGACCTTGTCTTGGCAGACTTCAGGCTAGATTCAATATCACAAAGCTGTAATAAATGAAGGCAAAATGAAATTCACTAGCTCAACACTATATACTAGCTATGACCAATAAATATTGCATATAACTGTACACCGCTTGGCACTCATTTACATGATTGAATGGCCAATGTCACGGCTGCTTCACGGCAACACCGAACCATCCCACTGCTTCGCCCATTTATCATCGTTCACTCTGTGGAGATGCCATGATTTTTTCTCCTTTCTTTTTCCCTCTCATCAGTCTGCGATATGAGTTACCGGCACCGTTCGGTGGCACCGCAGATAACTATGCCACTGAAATGTGCCGTTTCGATCTCCAACAGCTTTCACTGTAACGTATACATGGTTCAGTCAACAGCAGCTAGGGCTTTGGCGCTGCCTTTTATTTCAGCCTGTTCCGACAAAGCACGCAGTTTGTTGCAGCTAAACAAAGTAGTCTCTTTTGTATCATTCAACACTGACAGCACCGGCGAAGTTATTGCGCACGGCTTCACCCGCGGCTGTGCTGCAAGCATCTTGCTGGTGCGAGTGAGTGCCTCTTCTCATTTCCGTGGTGGAGGCCAGTCGAGGTGGATCTCCTGCATGGAAAGCGGCAATTCAGGAAAAGAGAAGATGTCACTTCGAGGAGTATACTTTGTCAAAGCGAGACAAGAGCTTAACAAGGTAACGTAATGGAGGTTTTCAGACTAAGCGTTCGAGTGCCGGGTGTTTTTGTGCAGTGCGCAAAAGCTCGGTTCCTTCAGAACCTTGAACTGACTTACGAGTCTTACTCAGACTCTTGGCTTGATCAGAATCCGAGTGACTCATCCCGGCTGAGTCTGGTTGAAGAAAATTTTTGTGAGTGCGAGACCAAGCGAGTCTGGCTCGAAAAATATTCGAGTCTGAGTCATAGCAGTACCAAAGTGCAAGGTATACTTCTTGAGCGAGTCTGAAGGAAGTTTGGACTTTTTTTTTTTGCCGACCTAAGTTCAGAGCACATAACCAGGTTTTTACAGCTAATGCTATAGGTGCTACACCGCCTAACCTTTTGCACCCTTACAAACTACAAAACGTAGGAAAAAAAATAACATGAAAATAAGTGATACAGTGAGTGCTTGTTGTAAAAGTCTACAAAAGCAGTGCAGCTTCAATAGTTTATTAAGGCTACACGAATGCCATGATGTCTTTTTTCTTCTCTTCCTCTCATTCTTATTCTCAGGTTCTTAGTCTTCTTCATGTTTGTCGTCTAACAGAATTAAACAAATCCTGAATTATCTAAATTATCAAAGAACAATAAACAGATGTCTGTGACATTATTGCACTTCCATTTTTTTAGGAGCTCGTGAACTACAGTAATTAATTTACATTAGAGCAGTGCAAAAGCCACAATTTTCTTCGACTTTTGATTTCAACGATCCCCATGTCTTAATCCTAAACACCCACTGAGCCAATACCTTATTAGGTACCGCCAACACAATTGTGGATGGCGATTCGCGGCTTTCTGAAAGCGCACAACTGGCTCCGACTGTCCGCGGATGTCGCTTTCACACCTGTGTCATTTAGTTGTGGTGCTCAGCGTGCTCCAAGGAACGTCTAGATTAACCAGGTTGCGACTGAATGTGACCGTATCATTTCAGGTTCTATGACATTACACAGTGCACAGTGCTGTCCGGACCACAAAACCTGTTCAAATTATGCGATTTCTTGAATTAACAAGCACCAAATTTATGAGCTGTCACTGTACTGCTATATCCCAGTGCCTAGACAACATATATTCAGTATTTGTAGTATAACCCGCACCTGGATGTTTACAGGAACGGCACATAAGGTATAATAGATAGGCAAACCGAGGTATACAGACAGTTCCACTGTTAAAGGGAACAACTGTGTGCAGCGCATGCCTGAATTTTGCTCTCTTGCCCCGCCGCGGTGGTCTAGTGGCTAAGGTACTCGGCTGCTGACCCGCAGGTCGCGGAATCAAACCCCGGCTGCGGCGGCTGCATTTCCGATGGAGGCGGAAATGTTGTAGGCCCGTGTACTCAGATTTGGGTGCACGTTAAAGAACCCCAGGTGGTCAAAATTTCCGGAGCCCTCCACTACGGCGTCTCTTATAATCAAATGGTGCTTTTGGGACGTTAAACCCCACAAATCAATCAATCGAATTTTGCTCTCTTGCAAGAGCATAGTGCCTTTTTTTGCATAATAGTAATAGTGGTTGACAGCTGAGACTCATTTCGACAGAACAGTGCCATACATAAATGATCAGTCTGTATCCACTTCTCTTTAGGGGACCAGTATTACGACGGGTGCTCATTTGAGTGTTCCTTCCAACAGTGGACCATACTGTACATATAAAATTCACGGAACACTTTTTTTTTTCTTCAAAGGAGCAGCATCAGCCCTGTATGTGTGCTTATAATTTGTGAATATGTAACCTAATCTTTGGAACCCTAGCCTCTAGCCATTTGATCTGAACGGTCATTAACAAAAGTGATTGCACCCGAATTATCTATATGCACGCAAACACAACGTGGGCATTGCATACCTCGACATCCAGTTCCAATATGTCCACGTCTGCGTTGAGGCAGCTTCCCAGCGAGGGCACTGTCCTGCCAAAGTCGCCGTGGATAAACTCCTTGATGTATCTGGGTACTTTTAGTTAGGGCCTGGGATACTCATACACTCAAGCCTTATTTTAACAACAAAGCTGCATCCCAAACGAAAATAAGTTCGTCATATTTTGAAATTCGTTATAAAGGCATATTCTTAACACTGTAATTCGTCATAACTAATGATTAATTATATACGAGTTCGCTATATTGAGGTTTGATTGTACCTGCAACACGGACTGTCCTTGTTTCCCATTTTTCATATCTACAGCAGATGCAGAAGGATGATACCTCCACTGATCACCTTGCATGTGACACCAACAGAATGGAAACTTCATTAACTATATGGGTGTCTAACTTCTCGGTACTCCATGATCCACCAGAGCTAAGCGTGAAAAATTTTCCACAGAGGACAATACTGAAGACAAAGTCGCAGCATACAGGTTCTGTCCACGTATGCATCATCCTTTGTTTTAACTTTTTTTTCTGCACTTAGAACTGGCGCGTCATAGAATCTTTATGGCTGAAATAGTAACGCGCAACGGCCGAGCTCTCTTCCTTTTCCTAGAACACAGAGCTATCCTCATTAGTCATTGACTGTTGTGAGCTCCAGAGTTCACCACACTGCAGTGTGTTGGTGAGATGGAGTCCAGCATCTGATTCACTAGCTCATCTCAACGGCAGAGAATTACTAAGTGCATTGACGTGAAATACCAGAGCAGATTGAGTCATACGACTACAATCGGGGGCCGAGGAATTCATCGACACAAATGATATTCGCACCCATTGGCGTGTCTCGCACGTGGTCACAATGAAATGTCTCGCAATGGATCTCATTTGCAACTAGTGCACTGACACCATCATTTAAAATATTCAAGCGCTAGTGTATCTTATTGCACCCTTTTTTCAGCGTTTCCTCGTCATGCTACTTCTGTTACCAAGATAGCAGCGTTTCAAGATGTGTTCATCTGGAGTGTGTCTGCCTTCGAATAGCACCGACACAAAAAGTTTGCACAGTGGTATTTGTTAGTTACAATACGTAGCTTACGACCTACCTATCATGGCTGGAAGTCTCGTTTGTGCGAGTGCACAGCAGTTATTTATTTAGAGATGTTTCTAAAGCGCTTTGTCTCAATTTCAGTTTTAAATAGCACCGAGCCAGGCAGAAGCGTTTCGAGGGCAAAGTGAACACAGCTGCTATGTGACCACGCAAAACGGCAACGCCCGTGCTGCAAGCGAAAGCTTGCTTGAGCACGTGCCAGCAACTAGCCAACACAGACTCGTGATGTCCGAATTTTTACGTTGCCCCTGCATCGATATCAGTGTTGTGGGGAGCTCTGCATCTCGCCGAGTCGCGCGACGTACAATTGAAAATGAATTTTAAATGTGTTCTAGGCTGTATTTGCCAGCGATAGCTCGTAGATGGTGTGTATGTCTCCACAAAACACTAACTATAACTATATAGGTTTCTAACTATAAAGTTGTGCCTCGTTAGCCATATAACTATAACTTCTTTCTAACTATAAAGTTGTGCCTCGTTAGCCATATACAAGAGAAAGAGGAAACGGCAAAGGAAAGAGGAAACTAATACGCTTGCATGCATGTGAATGTTCATCGCACATGCTCTGAAGGTTCCAAACTACAAACTGTTAAAATATGTTTCAACTGTGACCATCTCGGCTGAAGTACACAGCAATCCATAATCTGCCTTCGGGACAACATTAACGTGCAGTGCCAGAGGTAAAAGCCCGCTGCCCACAGCACTGTTGTTGTCAAGGATACGTGCCGGCCTGAGTGGTGATGTGGAGGTTGAACCTGTGTCCCCCATCTTCGCCGTCCTCGAGCGGTTCCAAGGACATCTCGTAGACCGTCCGTTCACGTTCCGCCAAGTTTCGCCTGCGGACACAATGCACCATACAGGAGCTTTACCGACTGCAGAAACGGTGGGATTGCCATGTTTGGTGACATGATCATTCAGACTACTTGTCATTCTTCGTTGCACACCAAGATTTTAGCGCACAAGCATCGAACTCGTGAATTTCGACTTCACTCTATTAAATGTTGGGTAATAACTGCGTAACATTAGCAAGGTGTCTAATACACAACTTAGCTTCAGCCAGTAATTTGCTTTAGCATTATTTGCTTGTTTTCTAGCGGTGTGCTTTAATGATATCTTCCTAGCTCAACCTTTCTTTAAGCATAATGATGACGAGAGGGTCAGTAAGCACATGACTAACAATGTTTGGTTCGGCATCATAAACTACACAAACGATAAAATTTAAAAACAAATTATAGTATTTTTGTGCTCCAAAACCAAGAACCTTCCCCCGCTCTGTCACACTTGTGTATCCAATGTTGCCCCTCGCCTTCCTTTGTCAGTATGGAGGAGAGAGTACGAAGTGTAAACACGCTGACGCTAAAGAAATCGGTTCTGTTGTAGCCTTGAGAAGACAGGTCCGCTTGTCGACACGTCAGCTTGACACAGCCCCTGTTTACAGATTTTTATTGTAAGTTTCCATTTTCACCTTCCTATAGTTTTTCGGAAAACCAATGCGAGTCATGCTGTCGTGGGAGTCATTTTGCTGCCATCAAAATGTGGATGCTGTAAGCGAGGAATCGAACCCGTGTCCTCGAATTGGCAGTGTGCACCATAGCCAACAGATAGAACGCTTTTGAAACGGCTCAAGCTGGAATTCTAGATTCTAGTTTTGCTGACCATCCGGCATATGTGGTCAGCCAACTGACTGATTAGAAACGTTTGGGAATATTTACGTGAAATTTTTGAATACCCGATTCCCGTAAGACATTTGATACAAACACAAATAAACAGATGAATAAAATGAAATGCCATACAGTAACAACATTTTCATACAGTTAATCTACTATTGAATTTTTTAGTGCTCGGTCTATATCCGATCGAAACGGATAACACCTTTAAGCTCTATACAACAAATTATTGCTTACAATGAAGCAAAACTGTAATGAGCTTGTTTACAAGGACGCCTTACCATTAATGCAATGTTATTATTACAATACCTTTATCAAGAAGTTACCTTCTGTGTAAGATAAAACTTGGCTGTAATGTGGTTGATTCCACTTAATTATAAATACCAGTCTACCCTAATGTAAAAGACACTGACCAAGCCTGGCGTACAATGCTCGTGGATCAAAACGAGACAATGCGGGACTAAGTAACACGCATACTTTCGTTTCCACTGTTTTAAGTTAGGGTCATTCGGTGCGGTTATGACTCGAACGCATAGACCAGAACCAGCACTATTTTTAGAGATGAGATTCGTCGCAGCGTGACGTTGTTATCTTGAGCACTTGTGGGCACCAGTTGTTATACACTCAAACCTCGATATAACAAATATGGATATAACGAAATATCGGTTATAACAAAACTAATGAAGAATAGTCTTGCAATAGATGTAGTGTTAGGAATAAACCTGTATAAAAACTTTCGGATATAACGAACCTATTTTCATGTAAGATGCAGTTTTGTTTTATTGAGGTTTGAGTGTACTCAGAAATGTGTTGCATTTGAACCCGCAAATACTGTACGAAATAAATGCATAATTTAACCGCTACGAAATGAACAAAGTACCTGTGCAGAACACGAATGGGCGTCTTCTGCTTTAGCGTCACATTCTTGAGCTGGGAGATCACGGCAGTGTCGTCGTCTGTGAGTCGCCTGTCAGCGCAGCACAGCGCCGTGTACGTTTTTTGCTTCAGCTCTTCACCGTCCTTCAGGACCTGCGTCATGTCCCTGGAACGCAAAGCGTGTTGCGAGCTGGACCTTTTGATTTTTGTCAACAAATTCAACGTCTCAACATCTAAAAGACTGTTCTCATTCGGGAACAACGTTTCTTGGGGAAGATGTGGAACTACAAAACCGAAATGCATGCCTGTTAGCACACCGGACACAGGTAACATTGGCAATTTTCACACGAAACCGTTTTACACTGGATTCTATCAAGGCTTCAGTGATGCCATTTCCGTCACTGACAGGGCGTCGGCTCTGGTGCAGCGAGAGACATTCCAGCAGGCACTGGAACATACGCTCAAACCTCGATGTAACAAACCTAATTATAACGAAATATCAGTTATAATGAAGTAAACAAAAAGTTGCAATACATAGTAATAATGTACCTTTATAACAAACTTCCGGATATAACAAACTTATCTTCATATAAGGTTCAACTTTGTCATAATGATGTTTGAGTGTATTTGTGCACCCATTGCTCCAACTGCGAGCTCTAACTCTTGCATATCTGAAGCTAAGTGCAACCACACCACAACCGGACCAGCTTCCCAACACGCCAAAAAGCTGAACCAAAACGAACTGCTGCAATGATGACAAGTCTCATTTCTATGTTATGCCGATTCCATATTAAAGAGGTATCAACTATGCATTTTTTTCATTTTCCTTGCTCAAATAAATGCTCATTTTTTTCTGAAACTAAAAGAGTTACAAAAAGACACAGGCAAGAGAAAGGTATTGTTAGATTTTCAAGAATTTCTTCTTTTTTATACATATACATTGCTACGTTAGCTGCACGCCTGTCTTATAAGGTAAACATAGCTTTCTCATAAAGTGTGTTTGCCCATGTGCGGCTGCAACATCACCGATTAGTTCTCCGAGAAAAGTGTACTTACAATGTGTTAATGAAATGTACATCTAACAGTCGCAATGACTCTCTCCCACTCACATTTCTCATGTGCGTCTTCTCAACGCATTAACGCTGCGACCAAGCAAACTGAAGCTGTAACTGAAATGAGCCGCAGACTGCCGTACTCTTTGCAAAGTACACTCAAAACCTGGGTATAATAAATCTGGATATAACAAAATATTGCTTATAACAAACCTTTATAACGGATTTTCGGATATAACACTCTTACTTTCGTGAAAGATGCAACTTTGTTATAATGAGGTTTGAGTGTAACACAAAGGTGTAGGAGCTCCGCCAAGCTTTTAGGTCGACTGCCAAGCTTTTAGGTGACTCGGAGTCTAGTGATGCTTTACATATATCTCTGCAGCAAACGAACACTGAAGAATTTGATGAAGTTCACAAACACTCACTTTGAGATGACCTGCAAATCACTCACGCTGATGTCCTTTGTGCTTGCGTTGATTTCCTGAGAAATCGCATCGAAGCGTCAGGATAAACTGACTGCCGTTGGAGCAATGCAGGAAATACAGCGAGCACACACACGTGAATGCTTCAAAGAATTAAAGAAGTATTGCCGGAGATAATTGATCAACCAACCGGTTATCATTGTGCAATGTGTAGATGAAATGAGCAGTTATTAGTTACACAGCTATAAGCCTAGAGCCCTTTTAAGGGCTGTAGCAGGGGAATTTTTTTTTAACAGAAGTAGTTATTGTTGAGCCACTAAGGCAAATAAATATATATAAATAAATGCAATTAATTACTAATGCAACTATAGCTTCTTTACAAATTCAGAACGTTTTATTTTTTTATCTCACGTTACTGGCACAAGTTATGTAGATGAATGTGAACAAGCTCCCTATATGAGCGAAATAAAATAACACATAATAAAAATTCTCAGGAAAAATAGAAAAGCAGACATTCCCCAACTTACAAATAGAAACTCTGCAGAGAAATAAAACAAGACACAATAAAGTTTCAAATATATTGCTATTGCAATGATACTTTATATTTACAATAACAAACCAATTTTGAAGCATTGGTAATTATTTATGTAATACAAATTACATCAGCTATAATTCCCTTCAAAACTGCTGAGGAAACTAGCAGAATACCTGGCAAAGAGCAGTGGCTGTAACAATGAAAATAAAAAAAACGCAATGAACCACTTGACACCTTAATTTCTCTTGAAAGAAAGAAGAAGATACCTCTGAGAGAAAGAAAGGACTTGAATTTAATCAGTAGAAAGAATCTTTCACATAGACTTCAGACGTGTTAACATGCGTGTTTAAGACTTATACTATTGTGCAGAAAATCTGGGAAAATGAATTAGAAGAAGATTGCACAGAGCGCACAAACCTGAAGAGCGATACCTACAGCATTAAAGCGATCAATTTTACACATCAGAAGAAATGAATGGATTCTCGCAGCTTGTGCTAACGGCGTCAAACGAAACCCAAACAGTGGCAAGCATTAGTTACGGTATCGTGGGCACCACCATGTCATTACAACTGGAAGGCTCAAAACATCCGGTATGGCAGTACTGCACACATGTGCGAGTCTTCATAGTGATAACTGAATAACGCATCCTATACCATTGTGAATGCTTGCTGCTGTTACAGTTTCATTCGATGCTGATAGCACAGTCTGCACCTTTGCATACGACATGGCTCACAAATGGTAATTAAATGAATTGCTTTCAATCAAGTGAGAACCTTTTCAATGATCTCCATGTCGGATGTTGTGAAGACGGCCCTCTTCGCCTTGAATATTTCCAGGACAAATGGCCGCCCTTGAAGCAATAACGATAAGTGAATAGAAATTAAAATTTCACAACTTCTACACAGAGAAGATTATACTCTATTAGGCTGGGTAAAGTAGCACTGGCAATTCGTGTAATTAAAAAGGTAATTAACTAAGAACAAATTAACTTCATGCCTACTTATTACCATTTAATAACAATTTACAATAATTAATACATAACAGTACAACCTTTATTAATAACAACGCACAAATGATTAAATAACTAATCATTAATAGGTTAAGGGGCAGACTCGTCTTGGATATTTTTTGTTCATTTCTTCAGTGATCTTGAACAAAGTGCATAGGCTTATGCAGTTCTTTCTGCTGATTTTGAATATGTAATTACTTTTCCTGTAACGCAATTTCTTCCTGAGATAACTCAAGTTTACCCCCTATTGTTTAAGGCTACTATAGAAAAAAAGTTCTTAATTAAAAGTGATATTTAAGATATGGTGACATATGCTAATGACTAGAGATTGAACGTATGCAAAAGTTTTCTTGTTTTTTGGCATTTTTTGGTTACCTTACAGTAAAATGAACTTTCCATTTTGAAAAGCATTCGAATTGTGTAATGATTTTGATGAGTATTTGATTGAAAAGGCTTGTGCTCTAAATTCTGCTGCCATACTTGCATTCAATGCATGTACAGGTTTCTACTGCAAAAAGAATTATTGTTGTGCCTGCCCTAGCTGCAGAGCTATGGAGGCCTCAAAACTAAAAAGACGTAAATTTACTTTTCTAAGAAAAATCGAAAAAAACTGATACCACCCAGTTTCTTTTAAAAATGCCAATCACGGTGTGCATGTTTTGCAATGCTCATAACGGCGCTCATACATTGGTAGTAGAGCTTCAGACACGGGTGCTGGCCAATTATAAAGAAGCCTCGAAGTAGGTTCCCAATTTTTTGCAGGTTCTGCATTGTGCTAGCACCATCAAACTGGGCAGTCAGACTGACATTGCAAAAAAATTACCACTTCCTGGTGGGTGAAAATTTGCATAGAGATAGAAAATACCTGCAGCATGCCAATTCTAAAAAATGCATTTTTTTTCGGTCACTTTTCGATCCCAATGATCAGTCTGCCCCCTAAATAAATTAAGTTTATTAACAAGAGCAGCACCATGATAGCTCAATGCACAATTTCTTCCTCAAAATTTTAAAGTAAAGGTTAATAAGATTCGAGACATTCATTTGATTGATATGTGGGGTTTAACGTGAGGCATTCATCCAAACTTGCCTTTCTTACTTGTCCCGTGTGCTCAACCATATCAGCAATTGATAACTATATTAACATATTTGGTAGGACATCCACCCGCCATATTCGACATTTGGGTCACTTTAACAATTTCAAAACCAGCCACCAATCCCTTGATTCTCAAGCCACTCGGTGGTGCGTATGTTACCTGGCAACTAAAGCAAAATGTTGTAATTACATACGCTTTTCTCCATGCACATGGAAAGGCAATGAAGCAAGTGACTGAAGTTCCAAACTCAAATAGCAAAAATTAAACAGAGATAGGCAGATTTCGGTAGTGCCTCTTCTACTGAGGTCATTCGCTGTTGCAACAGTTTTTTTCACACGGCTTGCAACTCCAATTTCGAAAGGAATCGTTTCCTACTGTAATACAACTAATGCCATTCTCAGACCTCAAAATGAAGAGCCCAGATATAACGAAATATCGGTTATAACAAAGTAAATGAAAATTGTCTTGCAATAGATATAGTTAGGCATATATATTTATAACGAATTTTCGGATATAACAAACTTACTTTCGTGTAAGATGCAACCTAGCTGTGACGAGGTTTCAGTGTATTACCAACTGTGATCGCTGAATTTGTGCAGCAGTGTCACCAGAGTGGTCAGTATCACTTATAATAAATGAATCTGGGCTTTCGTTCTGTCATAGTCGTTTGAAGAATTTTTCAATTACTTGTCACGTTTCTTTTTGGGGTGGGGGGGGGGTATATTTACATGTTCCCTGCAAATGGAAGTCGCTCGGTGCTCACCATGTTCACTAACAGTGCGTTTGTCATTGTATTTGCACAGTTGAACGTTTAAACGAAACGTACATTGGCGACATAGCGAGTAACATTATTAATACACAGGCAAATGCATAATTAACAGAGTGGTGACCACCCCGGAGACTACATCAATATCAGTAAATATAGGCTTTCATTCACAGTTGGGCATAATCTTGTGGTACGGTATAACTGAAGTTATTTTTTGGCCTTCCCTTCATGGTTCGGTGACATTTATCATAATTATGATAAAAATGAAGTTATTTTTTCTGCCTTCCCTTCATACTTCACTGACATTCATTAGAATTAAATATATTTCCAAGAGTGAGAAAATTTATTAAACTCTCTATACTTATGAGCATCTGCGCAAAAGTAGCGCCAATTTTTCGGGGCTTCGTTTGGGGTGATTATTTGCTTGCAGTGACATTTTGGAACTCGGCTGAAGTCTGTGTGGAGCACTAAGTCTTACGCAAATTACTAAGCTCGAATGTTGCACAAGTACATAAAATAAATGGGAGAGAAGTACAAGTCCTACCTTTTCCCAGCATCCGGACGTCTACGTCTTCCCTTCCGGATGACGAAAACATGATTTCTGAAATGTTGGCAACAGCAGCTAATCACAACACTCGCCGAACGTCCTGCATTTTACGCAATTTTCGGAGCGTCTGGTACATCCTTATGCCGATACCAAAAAAGGCACACTTTTCTTTTGAGTTGATCTAGACTAGGTCTTCAAAGACACTGTCAACAATGACCTTCATGAATGTCACTACACATATCATTTCTAGGTCAACATTGTACGTCAGCATTACATACAGCCACAGGCTCATCGTGACCAGTGATACCGGTGATTTAAGTTAAACGGCTGTGGTTTGATGGTTCTTCATACGTGCCTCAGAGGAACCAACTGACGTTGCATCGTTTCGGGCTATTGAAGGACTGCTCCAAAATTCTACCTTAATTGGTTCTGTGGAAGGCGGTTTGTTATTGCCCGCAACGGTTGAGGTCACAATTTTTGTCATTTTAAGGCAGAATCGATACAGAGCCAGTGGCTTGATGCTGAATCGCACACATTTCAGCACATCGTTTCATATCTGTGCTGTTTTGTTGCAGGACAAGTTCTCAAAGCCTCTTATGTCAACTCTTTAGTAGTACTTTGGATTGCACTGTCCTATTCTTTTACTGAGAAACAATTTGTTAGAGATAACGAGGACCTACACAACACCACACAGCACCTAGCTGATGTAGGTACATTCATCAGAAAATGTATGAAGGACGCGGAAATGTTGGAGAAAGCTATGTTCTATTTATGTCCAGGAACATAATCCCCAAATAAATATTCTAGCCTCCAGTTAGTATTGAAATATATGCAGGCACGAGATAGATTAGAAGCATTACGCAATTGTAGTACATTTCGTTCCTATACTAGAGCCAACATCGCGAAACTTTCACTGTTGCGTGTACATCATGCAGCGCTGTCATACATATCGAGTTTCCACACACTGTTTAGGTTATCAAGCTTTCTTAAGCTAGTAGCTGTTGAGGAAGTGTCTTTTACTAACAAAGCTTAACCTGGCCTTACTACGTGAGCATTTCTTGACGTGAATATTGAAGGTATGGCATAACAACTATAGGAAGAAAAACAGGAATTTGCTGCACTGTACTTTGCACATTTAGCATGAATCAACTCGCCCAGACCAAGCTTTTGTTAGCTTGAATGCTTGACACATTTCAGTTCAAGGGCCGCATATACACTCAAACCTCGATATATCGAAAATATAACAGTCTTGCAATATAGTGTTGGAGATATGTCTTTATAACGTATTTTCAGATATAACGAACTTATTTTCGTGCAAGGTGCAACTTCATTATACACTCAAACCTCACTATAACAAAGTTCATTTTACACAAAAATGGGTTCGTTAAATCTGAAAATTTGTCAAAAAGGTTTTTTTTTTTAGCACTATAGCTATTGCAAGACTATTTCTTTACTTTGTTATAACCGATATTTCGCTATAACCAGGTTCGTTATAACAAAGTTTAGGTGTAATGAGGTTTCAGTGTATTCACTAACAGTAAGTCAAACAGCCCTCTTCGGCGGTATTTTGGGAGTCGTTATTGGGCAAAACATTGGCAGTACGCAAGACTTACTTTCGTTTGGGATGTGCTTGGTGACCACGTCGGTGATGAGCTCCTGTACGGATGCTTCCATGATTCTCTTGCCGTTGAGAATCCAGGGCGTCTGGCTGAGAAGGCGCGAGTACTTGCAGTAGCGACCTGTACATCGTGCGGCAAGTTGTCAGCATACGTCGGCGGACATCGGAGTATGCGAAACTGGTTCCTCTGAAGCGAGCCCACTAGAAGGCTGCAACTGCCGGCTCATAAACATTGGTGCTAAATGCAACAAACTCAAACCACCAACAGCAGTTTGAGCGCCTCAACGCTGGCAGACATGGGACTATAAAGCCTAAGACCTTTAGTACCAACTTTCTTCTTTTTCATTATTTCTCCTTTGTTAGTTCTACATAAGTAAATGTCTGTCTTCTCGTACGAGCGCTTCTCCTCTCTGCGAAATTGGACGACGGGTCTGATGATTGGGGCCAGCTACCTACGTCGAGACCTGCCGGACCCAGGTTCCCACTCATTGGTATCAGCACAGAGTTCCTGCTAACCATCTGGTCGAACAAGAGGAGGCAGCAACGAGACGTGGCTAGCTGTGAATTTCTAATCACTGGTGGAAACGGTGGGACGAGGGTAGCCATGAGGATGCAATGAAGATGAGCCACATTTGTGAACGGAAATTAACATGGGAGGCAGCGATCACGTTTAATTATGCGTGCTCGAGGTTGTTGCGTACACTGACAAAACGTTTCCCCTTTCTATAACTCCCGGTGTAGCTTTTGATGCACTCATCTCAACAAGAGAGGAGAGAAAACGCTTAGAAGAAGTGACATTTCACTCATTCTTGACAAATTAAAAAACTTTTAGCAAAAATTGTTTCACGAGGCGATGAACTCATTTATTGATATTGTCAACCATGTTCCTCTTCGCTGTGATTGACAGACCTCAAGTGTGCAGTGTCCATCACATCGCAGTTATTCTACTTGCCGACACTGCGTGATCACCCTCTTACATATGTGTGACAGCGATTCCGCTGTGACGTACTCGACATTAAAATAAACTAACAGAGAAATGTGACTTTTTCACCCATGATCAGTATTATCAGGCCTGTGACAGTTCCATAAAAATGATGACAGGGCAGTAACCACTCTATCAGTACTACATTACGTAGAAAAGATACACTTAAATGAGCATGCCAATATGAGCTTTATTATCTTCGAAGTCCTCCAGCCATGATGAACTGAGAAGTAACAAGCCCCCCTATTTTACAAGATGGACGCCACATGCCAGAATTGGTATGGAAAGCACTGTCGGTGCATCAGAAACAAAGAAATGTTCTGAGTAACATAGGCAACACCAAGGCAAGCTTGACTTTGTATGACAAAAAGTTGACTGAAATGAGTTACCTAGACAGACTAACGTACCTGCAAGGTAGATAGGCGAGTGGACGCACGAGACTTCAACTTTGGATTCGACTTTTGACGGTCGGTCTGGTGGGCATTTGTACAACCTGCAATGGCACATGAAAGCTCGTTGCAAAGGCTACACTGTTGCAAAAGGTACCTTAATGCGAAAACCCCTCCCCACTCATATTTAGTCGTATATATATGGCCATAGTGATGTTGGGCAAGAACTACTCTGGGAAGTGGTGTCACAAGCACGAGGCTTATGTTAGCTAACTTCAAACATGTAAATTTAGACTGGTTACAATACTGCTGGATGAACATGCCATATAGTGATCTAAATAAAGCTACGAATAGTATCAATTGTTGGCATAACACGTATGGCTGTTCAAAGCAGGTGCAACGAAAAACGACTTCTGTATGCTGTCGGCAGTGTATCAAATGGGCACATATTGCAAAATACTTGTTAACAGTCCAAACATGCACAACAGCTGTTTCTCGACACCTTTTGCTGAAAATATCCTCGCGTAGAAGAGACCGTTGCTCTGTGCATTTTTGTTTTAGAAGACTCGCAGAAACTTGCATCATCTTTGCAATCAAGCAACACCAAGCACCACCCACTTTCTGAAGTCTTCGTCTGAGATCTTTCGAAGCGCATCCAGCACGGCACAACGTGTGAATATCTCGCGGCACTGGTGCTGTTGGCAAAAAAAGAGAAAGAAAATAAATAACTGCGATAACTCATGAGGGCTGCCTGCCCTGCTACTTGAGACAACTTACCTTTCTCTGCTGTCGGTTTGGAAAGGATTCGGGGAACTTCCTCAGTCTACAGAAGGATGGAGACCAAAATCACCAATGGTATTAGTTTGGGCTATTGGTTCGTGCTATTGACTGTAATGTTGAACCAATAGCCCTGCTGTGCCATTGGTTCGCTATTTCTGATACAGTGGCTGTTTAGATGCACAACACAGTGGTGACACAGGGAAAGAATAAACAACAGTAGCCAACGATTAGCCCCATCTCTGTTCATTATGCCGAGCTTTGATTATAGGGTCCCCAAGTGCACGCGTGCGAATGCGAGCCCATTGGTGTGTATCCAAGTTGAAAAAAAAAAAAAAAAGTGAAAATACATGTGTCAAAGTGGTGTTTATTTTTGTGCCATTTTTAACTATAGATAAGTCTCGCGCCACACATCTACATGAGCAAGGCTCGGTCTTTTTCCTGCAATACAGCATTGATTAGATGTGGCCCACATCCAGGAGTAAAGTTAACGATGATGACAAGTGTAATCCCTTGACTTAGGTGATAGCACGAATTCAAGACACGACCAAGAAAGAAAGAGGACAATTGCTGCGAGCAGTATTTAAGGCTATGAGCCAACTAGGCCTGCCATGATTTTTATTAAGGAATGCTTTGGCAAGATTGAATACACTGTTCTAAGACCCTTTGAGGAAACTAACATCTTCAGCCTAAACTATAGCAACAGGACAGGTGCAGAATGTGCGAGCTTACAGAAACCCGCACTCCTCCTCAGCGTTTGGCGACTGGGAACGCCACTGAAATCTGGAAGCCACTCGCGGCGGAAAACTCGACGCCCAAGTGGTCGGCGAACATTGGGCTGACGATGTACTTCCACACTTCCTTGGCGCTGACGAATTCGATGTCGCTGCACTCCTTATAGGATTCCCTGCAGGAGTGAAAGAAGGCATGCAGCAAGAAAGAAACCAAATCAACAATATGAATAAAAGAATTGCGGAATATTACAAAAGACCACTCGGGACATTAGAGGGATACCGCATCATTTGACTGCAACACGACCATGACTGTAAGACGAGGGGTGACTTTTCATTATGTCTAGAAAGATAAATTGTATGTTTTTCCTTCTATGTATTCCACTATCCAACTGTATTGCCAGTGTTCATTTTAGGGCTGTAAAACTAGAAATGAACTAGGGTTAAATTTGAGCGAATACGGTAACAATCGCGAGTTAAGTGTGGATGAATGTCTTTGATTTGGAATCCTAAATAGCAGGGTAATTTGAAAACTGACTGATAGCCTGACGGCTGAGACCAACTGATGTACAACAAAAGACAGTACACAATATACAGATACGACAGAGCCCCATGTTTGTCATTCGTTGATGCTTTTTGTGAAACCTAATTATACATCACTGCCTAAGTTGACCCCATTTTCTTCATTCATTATTTTGCTTTGCTAGCGACACTGGGGCCAACTCTGGTTAATCTATTGATTTGGATACAGAAATTTAGAGGCATTCTGCCTAGGTACACAGCAAACTGAGTGCAATAAAATTTGCTTCCTCGAATTCCATTGACTGCAAGAAGTGAAATTTCGATTAGAAGAGCCAGAATATTGCTTTTTTTTCAATCTCGCAAAAAGCAGCGAACAAGTCTTTCACATGTGAGCCACTATGTTTACAACGCAACAAGCATTCCAAAGGAACCAACCTGAATTTTTCTTTCAAGTGCGTCACCATGGCATGCTAGAAGTGCAAAAAGAAGGTCTTGGGTAACTGCAGGCGCACCTTAAGGCATACTTTGTCTTTCAGAAGCACTTTACGATGGACCAGTGCCCTAAATAACTATAAAACATTGTTAAACGTAGCTCAATAAACAAGAATAGTGGAAAAACCTCATTGTATTGAACTCCCCTTGAACTGGGGCACAATCTTGCAGAACATTCACTTTTGCCATTTGCGACTCGCCAAGACCTGTGCAAATGTCACAAACAGTGAGGAAACATGTGATGTGAAGGTAAACATGTTTGACAGAGATCTGCCAACAGGGTAAAATTAGACGAATAAAGTCACACCGCTTTATAAGAGGCACTCATATGAGACAAATGGGTATAAGAGACACCACAGTGCCTGCAGCAAAAATATGGGTTGATAAGAAAGTGCAGACAAGGTACCCTGGTTATAAAAGGCATCTTGAATGAAAGACAAGAAATGCTGCACACAGCATGCCTCTTATAAAGAGGTTAACTGTAAACACACTTGCCAGGCACGTTAGATCTTCAGTTTTTTTTATTAAAAACTGGCTCTACGTTTCAGACCCACTCAGTCTCTTCTTCGGGGGGTGATTGTCCCGCCAGCTCCAAAGATTTTTAGTGGTTGTGTCCTTTTCCATCTTGTTTTTGTTATTGTTACTGCTTTGTTTCTTAATTGGCTCCAGAGATCACATGCATACAAACTCGGCATGGTCTCGGTTGACTGGTTTATATATACAGGAGTTGTTTGTACATGCCAAGATTCTAAGAATTACCCTTTGGTGTGGCTACTTTCTGTTTGGATGAGCTGGGCTGTGTCGAAGTCCATGCGATGGCCCAGCTTATCGCTGTGTTCTGTGAGAGCATGCTTGTGCTGCCATTGAAGGCTACGCTTCAAAGCTCCCGTATTCTTTGTGGAAAGTTTTTTGTCTTGCTGATCTAGGTGACGTGGCAATCTGTGCAGGGAACTTTGTAGACAAGCCCGAAGAATTTTTCCTTTAGCAGCCAGTCTTTCAGTTGCGGCAAGAGTAGTTCTATTGTTGATGCAGGCTAGTGTGCTACCTGAACACCCTCCTTCCTCAATACCCTCGACAGTTGCTCGCTTATTCCCAGGATGTAAGAGACTGTGATGCAGTAGGGACACTTGAGGGAGGCTTCACTGTTTGTGCCATCCCTTCCCAGCTACGCGGAGGAATTTTTTTTTCAGGTATAAACCACAATGAGCGTATATTGATTTCATTAGCATGTAGACGCACTTTTTCGATGAATGCAATACTTGTGTCTCTTAAACAGCACACATTAGTGACTTTTTAGCTTTTTTTGTCTCCATACAACTTTTAATCTCTAATGCCTTAGCACACGGATGGGATAATGCACAGAGTGTATTGCAATGCCAGTAATTTTCCCAGATCTATTGGTGGACTAATTGTCCGATTAACTGATTGGCCGACCGATCCATCAATTGAACCATCAACCAATTTAGCAATCAACCATATGACTGACGTACCTACCTACCATATAATTAACCGAATTAGCAACCAACCAATTGAATGATCAACCAACCGACCGAACGACCGACTGACGGTGCTTACCAACTGACTAATTAATATGATGTTGCAGGTTTATTACAACTTATAAGACATACATAAAAGGGTCCCAAAGTGCATGATTACAAGCGAACTAAGTGGCAAACATTCCCACAGAATTAGTCGCATCAGCCTGCTAGGTGTGGTGGATCACAAATAAGCTTCTGATACAGTTTACTTTTCCTGCTTTTTCAGCAATAGTACCAAGACAGATGTCCTTGAATATTTTAATACAACGGTAGTGCTGAATGATAGAGTGAAAAAGAGTAAGGACAGAGATTAAAAACTACCCCTTCTTATAATATATACAAATAGAGCAAGACAGAAATGTCGTGTTAATGCCAACACAGGCTGTTTCTTGCCTGCACTGTTTACAAGACTCTACAATCTGCCAACTCACATGACGAAGTTCAAGCGTCACGGGTACCGACAGCTGGAACGTGAACTTGGAGAAGACACAGCCACTCTCCTTGACAGCTGCTACAATCTGAAAGTAGAAAAGAGACAAAACTGTGCTACAGGCTCGAAAGCCGCTGGCCTGCCTCGGTGAATATTAATACTGTAAAGTTGTTCGTAGGATTTGTGATGACTGGAAAAGTAAAACACACAGAGCACATGGCGTGCAATGCCTTGGATGCCTTTAACAGTGCAAGAGATGCTACAATCTGGGCAGTGGCCTGCAGCATCAGTGTTAATGATAATTAGCAAACAATAAAGCCAGGGAAGGTATGGGGAACTCCGGAGTTGACGGAGAAAACAACACAGTAACTTCTCTTAACATCCCCTACACTTTCCCTGGCATTGTTGTCTCCTAGTTCTCAATAATGTTGTGTTTAACACAAATTTACACTATTCCACAGCACCCCAACGTGGTAGGTCTAGTGGCTAAGGTACTCGGCCTGCTGACCCGCAGGTCACGGGATCCGAATCCCGGCTGCGGCGGCTGCATTTTCAATGGATTCCAAAATGCTGTAGACCCGTGTGCTCAGATTTGGGTGCACTTTAAAGAACCCCAGGAGGTCGAAATTTCCAGAGCCCTCCACTACGGCGTCTCTCATAATCGTATGGTGGTTTTGGGACGTTAAACCTCACATATCAATCAATCAATCACTTTCCCACAGCCTCAAAGTAACACCTGTCAGCCACAGTATGAGGGGGTGGATTGAGGGCTTTTCTTTACAACCTAATGAGACCAACAGACAATGCAGCAAAGGAAGGTGTAAGAGACATTATATGCGGTACAAGAGACAATAACTGTAGTGTAGTAATTATGACTTGAAGGGCTCCTAAACCACCTCCAATAATTTTTTTTTAATATTTCAAGTAAACGCGTGCTTCGTGCACACAATGCCTCAGTATCAAATATGCCAAATAATACGCAAAGTTTAACATCCCAAAACTGCGATATGAGAACTTGAGACATAGTAGTGGGTGAGTCCGAAAATATTAGATTTTTCGATGTTCTTTCATGTGGATTGTCATTGCACAGCACACGGGCCTGTACTATTTCGCCTCCGTCGAAAGGCGACCGTCATGCCCGGGATTGACCTCATGACCTTCGGGTCAGCGGCGGAGCACCGCAGCCACTGAACCACCAAGCCGGACCAACAGTGCGAAACAAAGCAGTGCGACGAGCTGCGAGAGCCCCGCTAATTCTAAGAAACAATCCCTTCTCTGCAGTATTCAGCTCCTCAATGTTCGCTGTGATGTCAACTTGTCATCTGCTAGTCGTCTGCAAGACCTGTTTGTCTGCCTGCCGGTACGCGCCCTCTCAGCTTTTTCTCCTCCCACTGTGAAGACGAGCACTCAGCCAGGAGGAGAGACGAGTCGACCAACCAAAAAAGAGCGAAATGAGCCAGAGACTTTTTTGTATCGCCGAACAAGTGTCGCTCCAACTAGTGTGGTGTCGTTTTGAAAAATTACCACAGCTACGTTGTCGTTACGGACTCGTGCACAACTGCAAGACCACAACTCAATTGGTCTACGTGGTCTAGCGGCCCTTCAAGCAGAATGAAATCAAGATGGATGAAAAACTGACTTTGCTCTGGGAGGCACCGAACCTACAACTTCCACTTAACAGGTCTGATGTTATAACGGTTCAACTAAGGTGATAGTCACTTCTCTATTTACTTTTCTTGTTTTTGTGTAACCTTGGGAGTGTTGCCACTGTGCACAGCTAGGACGACGAATGAGCAACTCTTTTTTGCTATATCGTGTCACGTTTCACATGATCTTACTATGTGCTGGCAGCTCATGATCAGATCACTTGCTAAATTCAGAAATTCATTTCTGTTTATGTCACAATCACTCGAAAAAAGTTAAAACATGCAAATTGTGTATCTTGTAGAATATAATAGTGGTATATGACAAAAGGTTGCCCTGCTCAGCATAAAGTAGGAAAATTGGTTATCATGCAGCATCTTAATCACAACAGTACCGGCACCATCATAATGACATGAGCACTAGAAAATGCACACTCTGGCAAATTTAACTTTAAAGGGCTAAGCTGAAGCATGCAATGTCGCTCTAGCATGGTCCAAAAGTATTTAGTTTGAATTTTCAACGCGACAGCAGTGTCAGTTACAAAATTCACTTTGGTTAATGCGCGACACTTCCTCACACCTGCTTGAAAGATGACTTGAGGTGTTGAATCTCGAGCAGTCCATAGCAAGCAACGCAACCGGTGTCATTTGCGCTGTTAACTCCATCTTTCTTGCTGAAAAGGTCACACTTTCCCGACAGTCCGTCTTGGCAGGCATTGTCGATGCTCGCCGACTCGCTGATGACTTCGGTGGCCAACTTTGGTCGCTTCGGACTGGGTTCTTCTGTTGACTTTTGGTTTTGAGGTTCCGATTCACCGTTGCTAACATCCTGTAAGAGAGCAAGTTGATGAGCAAAGCCCGGTGCAAGCATCACGATTTGAAACTTGCAAAGCTTGATCTTTTTTGTTTTTGTTCTTAGCAAGAACCTCACCGTAGCTAGAGCTCATCGATTCGATCAGTAGTGCATCGAACAGTGAAGTTGGAGACATTGAGATTACCGTTTCAAGCTCTGCATTCTGAGTTTTCTCTGCGAGCACACACACATAGGGTGCGAGTTACCAATTGTCACTTTTGGTGAGGGATTTGCCTGATTTCACTTTCATCATTCATTCATTCATTCATTCATTCATTCATTCATCAGAGTTGTAGACAAGAGCACCCAACACAATATGCTTCTAAGCGGCAATTTCATAAGTTTTGGCAAATGAAAGTGTTTTTTTTTTCTTTTTCTACTGCTTGATCCAATTTTTATGCGTTGTGGTTACGTTTTTGAGATGTGCACAATCTGCGCACACTAGTGACCCGCAGCGGCGACCTAGTGGTTTAAATAAAGAAAAAAAAGCGGTGGCCTAGTGGTTAAGATGCACGACTGCTGGCTCAAAGGTCGCGGGTTCAAACCCCACCCGCATCTCGAGTGAGCCAAAATGCTGGAGGACCATGTGGTTAGATTTAGGTGCACGTTAAAGAACCATAGGTGGTCGAAGTGTTATGACCACATTGTCTCTTATACTCATATCGTAGTTTTGGCAGGTAAATCACACTAGCTTTATCACTAGGCACGCAGTAATTCCACACACTTTTTTTTCTCTTTTAATTATGGTATTTCACTTCCTTCAAAATATCGTGGCCGGCAGTCGAACCTACGACCTCGTGCTCGGCAAACGAGGTGGATCAAGCGAAGTGCATTTACTGAAAGTGCGGCCGCTAGCTCCTCGAACTTCTTGTAATTGTCGTAGTATCTCTCGCCGGAAAAGCGCTCCGCGCAAAACTTGCAGCATCCGATTTCCTTGAGGTGTTCGAGAACGGAAAGTCTGTCAGCGTCCGTCAGCTTTAGAGGCATATCAGCACTGACATCCGCGATTCACAGAATTATGTTTTCTCACGCCGACGTGACAACCGCGGCACAATTTTTAATTTCACGTGTGCTGTAGTCGGCTTGTTGTGTGCTCCGAGTGGCTACTGTCGGCTGACGTACAAACAGATGTGCAAAGTAAGTACACTTTATCTATTAAACTTAACAAACCTAACTAAGCAAAAGTTACCTTTAAGCAGATTTTTTCAATGCTTGAACAGATTTCTCAAAAAGCACTGAAGAACTTTGCTTTGAGTTTTGTAGTAAAATTTTTTAATCTCAAAGCTTATGTTTTGAGTCGTAGCCTGCAAGCTTTGACATCAGGCAATGACACCAGGTAAAAATCATTACGTGAGCAATAAAACTTTGTGAAGATTAGTTCAACTTACATGTTATTTTTGTTTAATTACATTTGCACAAACAACTTCTAGCTGACTTCTACTGTAGCTGAACTTCTACGACTTTCGAAAACAAACAAGGCTACCGTTTACAGGCCAAATCGATCCGCAATTTAGACGCTAGGCAGACACAAGATGGCTGCGCGCTTCGTGCGTGCGAGTGTGTGCAGTTGCGTTCGCCTTCAAGCGACCCTCGCAGGTTCACGGCGAGTTCCCGTGGCCTGTCGACGTCCCGGGCGCTCTCGGTGCGAGGCACGAAGCTGAGCGTCGAGCGCGACGACGAACGTTGCGCCGTCGACGACGACTTCTACGGCATCTCGGGCGACCACGGCGTAGTCAGCGTCGACAACCCGCTAGGGGACCCTCACGAGAGAATTCGCCGTTTCTCACACCTCACGCGACGCCGCTGATGCGAAGGTTTCGGACGAAACCGTCGTGGCTGCCGACTTTCGGCACGATCCGCTACGACCGCGACAACCGGGCCCGGTACCACGGGCAGTACGAAGACGACACGCTATTGGACGAGCTCGTATTGGATACCTACAGCGGGGAGTCATCTAAGCCCGGTCGTGAGGCCCCGGATAAGGGTGCGAACAAATCGGAGCTGCGAGACGCGCGTGAAACAATCATTTCGGCGAGAAAATGGAGCCAGAAAAAAGAAGCGGTCGCGTGACAATGCCGAGGGTGCGACGCCGGTTTCCAGGGACGTTCAGGACTCGTCGAACGCCAAGGTGAAGTTGTCAGGAGAAGTGGCACGTCCCCGTTCTCCTCGAGCTTTGCCCCGTTGATGATTGGCAGTTGCAGTCGTCCAAGAAACGACCGTCTGCATCGGCAATAGAAAAATGCAGTTCAGGTCCGAGGAAACAGGCTCCAGTACGGACTCACTGGCACGTAGCAGTGAACAGAGCAGTACGCTTGGTAGCGACCACCTGGAAAGCGCTGTGAGGGTGTTTTCGCCAGCCAAAGCGACTGCAGACAGAAGCAAAAGAACTGCAGTGCATGCCAAGGAGATAGGCGGCAAGGAATTGAGCAAAAGTGAAGCCTCGTCTTCGCTTAAAAGCTCTTCGAAAAGTTTTGTGACAACTGCAAGAACAGCTGAGGAGGAGGACTGCGAAAGTTCAGTGTCCAGAACCAGAACGAGAGCACCAAAAAAGCCGAGGTCAAATGATATGCTCGAAAGTGATAACGTAGGAAAGGCGGCGCGCTCCTTCCTAGAAGAGCCAACAACAGCGACCGCTGAGTTTGAGCTGAGCCAGTCATCATCTTCCACCATCCAAGATAGTTCCAATGCTTCCCAGCGCAGATCCAAAACCAGAGCCAGGAAAGCGAGCGGCGAAGTGATTGTCGACAACTCTTCAAATGTCCCAGACACAGGCAATCCTACAGCTTTCGAGTATGTCCACAAGCCGCAGCAGTTCAGCCTCAAGCTCGACAGCAAGGGCTTCTTCATTCTGAAATCAGAGGTTAAGCCTAACCTAGCCTTTATGCTACGCTCTGAGGTGGTAGATGTGTTGAGGCAGCGTGTCCTGCACGATGGCAACGACGTACTTATTCTAGACAAGCCATACGGCATGATCTGCCATGGATCCGCGAAGGGTGTCCCCGACTCTCATGTGTTAGTACGTCTGTTACCGGACCTCTCTGCTGCCCTGTATCCAAGGGAAGACATAAAGCTGTACACTGTGCACCGTCTGGACCGCGACGTGACGGGCGCCATCGTGCTGGCAAAGACGCAGCGAATGGCAGACATGCTGCAGACACTGTTTGAGGAGCACAACATCTCTAAGACTTACCACGCGATAACATTCGGGGTGCCCGACAATGACTGTGCAACGATCGACATGCCTCTCGCGGAAGGATCTGTTGGCTTGGCCAAGCGTATGGTCATCTGCCCGAAACTGGAGCCTGAGTTCGAGCGGCTCGTGCCGAAGTTCTCCAAGACATACGAAGCGATCACGCATTACCGCGTGCTAAGCTCCCATGGCAGGGCAGCCTACCTGGAAGTGAAGCCGGTGACTGGGGTCAAACACCAGATCAGAGTGCACCTGGGGTTTGGGCTGCGCTGTCCCATTCTGGGCGACCACAAGTACTCGCACCTGAGGGAGCTGGCTCCGCAGAGGCTCTCCGGAGACCTGTTGGCCAGGCTGAACGTGAGGCAGACCAAAGTGAGGCACATCCCCATGCACCTCCACGCCAGCTCGGTCATGATCCCCGAGATCTTGGATGGCAGGAACTTACTGGTCAGGGCACCACTTCCGTACCACTTCTTGCAGAACTTGAAACGACTCAAGCTTCACAGGCACTGACCTGCTGGAAGGAACCCCATCTTGTACATACATTTAAATCAGTGCTATAGGAGCGTGTCAGTAATAAATGACTGTATGGTTATCCCAACTGACATAAAAGTCACAGTTTTAATCGTGGCTTCGATGGCTGCATTTTGATGGAGACATCGAGCTATGGGTCATGTACTGTGTGGCGTCAGCTATGGCGTGCCTTGTAATCATATCACGTCGTGGTTGTCGCATGTAAACCCCAGATATTATTAGATGTTTTCACAGAGTGGTGAAGATATAAGAGTAAGGCTTGTCTGCCATTAGATCCAGTGGGCTGCAAGCAGTAGCAGCAGGCAGATTGGGATATTTTCATTTCCAAGTGCTTGACTGCTGTTCTGGTTTTGTCTTTCCACATTGTGAGAACTTTTTATGCCAAGATTGCTATTACAGTCATTATTCATGTGTTTATGGCAATACAGTTTCATACCTAAAACAATAACACAAGTTTTTAGGAACCATATTTGACACAAAATTTATAAGAAACTCAATGTGCTCAAAGTTCTCTTGCGAGAGCAGTAACCCTTGGACCCGAAACGGCACCTATGTATCTATTGTTCTTCAGTACCTGGCAAATGGGCTTGGGTTCTACTAGACAGTTGCACCTTAAGTGGCTGGATCCTGTTAATAAAGCAACGGCCACCTACAGAACATTAGACCCGGACTTTGGTTTCAAAATGAGTTTTTTTTCTCTTTCTTTACAGAACATTGTCCATTTCTGACCCGTATTACAAGAGCAATATGCTGCCTCTAGGTAACACATGAACACAGCTAATGTTCACTCATTCTTAGAATTCGTTCCATCAGCTGATTATACATGTATGGAACCATTTGCTGTGTTGAATGACTATACCATGCAAAGAAATAAGAAGTGATTAGATTGCTCCTAGGTTTGGGGGAAAATGTTAAGGGTCCCTAATTAAAGGCCATGTTGCCAAACATTGTCTAGACTAGATTCTTTGAATAACTTTACAAGTTTCCTTGAATTTTTAGAACATTTTCAAGACTAAGATACCCCACATAAGCATATAATACACTAATCTCACACAATACACTGATATGCCTTGGAGATACCTAGCTGTGGGTGCTGAAGGCAGTTTGGCTGAAGAAACATAGCATGTAGTAAGACTACCATGTGTTGTATCAACTTGCATGGCCGAGTTCTGTCTTATAGATGGAAGTACAAAGTATTTTGATGTCTTAACATTAAGTGTAATGTTTCTGAAAAGATAGAGAGAAATAAATAAAAGGAAAAGACAGGGAGGTCAGGCTAGAATAACTGGTTTAGGATTGTTTGGAATTTCGGGGTCATGTTCTTGACAGCGCTACATCTGCTTGTATGGATGGACCGGTTATATCGGGCGGCTGCTAACGACACTTATAGCCGTAATACTTAGTGAACCAACAACTAGATCTATCTTCATTTCCCCCTTTAAATAGTGAAGTTGAGGACTGGTACTTTGCAGTGAAGGATTTAATTTTCACTCGTGCCTTGATTTTAGTCACCAATCAGGTGACCTTCTAGTTATTTCTACCCGTTTAAAGTCTATGTTGCCCTCACTGTCCGTGAACCCCGGTGCTTTGAAAAACTCTGCGCCATCATTCTGAACTATAGGATGAAGCCGTTTACAGAGCATTATCAAGTGATGCTGATGCTGATGACCTGTGATGGATGGCGCTTACCCACAAAGGGGGATGGGCCAAGAACCGGGCGGCAGGATACTTAAATGAAACTAAACTAAAAATGAAGCCAATCTGAAAAAGTAGCGTAAAATAATACTACCAGAAAAACAAAAATGTGTGCTGAGCAAGCGGTCAAACCATCTTTTGTTTTTGAAAGACATTACTATGAATTATAAACTAAAGATCTGAAAGGTAGTGGTTCACTAGCATGGTAATCTTTTAGTTGCGTTGATGTAGTTAAACACAGCGGAGCATACATCCCTGTGGCAGTAACCAAATGAAGCTCCGCCAAGTGATAAAATTACTGGTAAATTTACTTGTATTCCTAGCTTTTGTAATGGGGCTACTAAAAATCTTTTTCTCTGATAAGAATAACGATGACAGAATAAAAAGAAATGTTCAATTGTTTCAATTTCGTTGCACCAAATGCATAGCGGTGACGCCTTGAGCTGAGCTTTATTAAGGTAATAATTTAGTTGTGGAACTGCACAGCGCAATATGGTATAAGTGACCTCTAACTGGCGAGATAAACACCACTGTTTATTCCAGCAATAGCTCAAATGCTCGAAATCTTTGAAGTTATCCAAATTACCTTTTCCCCAGTGTAGGCAAGCATTTCGGAACCTTAGCGCAGTTACGTAAGCCGTATCTGGCAAAACTGGAATGGTGGGCCCACCCAGGGATACTGCTGCTAAAGAGTCCGCCATTTCGTTCAAATATAATCAAATATATAATATATTATCAAGTGTTCGGCAGTTTCCTTTTTCTCTCCACACGCACTGCATACCGTGGCTACCCTTTCGTATTTGTTCCGATAAGTCTTGGTTCGCAGTACTCCCGTCCTGGCCTCAAACAGTAGAGAACTACCCGGAGTGTTATCACAGATCTTTTTCTTTGCAATTTCCTGCTTAGAAGTTGTATAGATCTCTAATGCGAACTTTTTCTTCATGCAAATTCTAAAAAAAAAGCGCCATATTTGGCAGCATAATAGAGTACGCAAACCATGGACGGCCGCGAACGAGCCAACGGCCGTTTACTCCGGAATCCGACGCAAGTCGCGAACTTTGTTGTCATGGCCGAGAATAGGAGAAAGGCGTGAAACCTCGTTTGACGCGGAGCGACCTTGTTTCGAAAACAGCCGTGACGTTTCGCTTTCCTGAAAGGGTTTTCTCGCCGCGCGCCTTTTCTCGGCAAAAGCGACGACGACAGCCTCCTCGAAAGCGTCAGGGGGGCCGAGGTGTTCTGCGACCGAGTGCAGCTTGTGCCATGGCTTCTTCCAAAGTTCGGGAACAGGTGGAGTCTTACTTTCGCGACCTCAACTACGCTTCTTCGAGGATCGTCGAGGACATGTCAATCATCCGGGATGCTCACGGCGAAGACTGGGACCGCATACCGGAAAAGGAAAAGACCGAAATCGCCTGGGACGCGCTAGTCGGCCCCGACATCAGGGAGAAGTACAACTACTACCCCAAACAGTACGCCGAAGTCGAAGTCTTTCCCGTCATCGGACTGAACACTGGCGACAGAATGGTGTCTGACGAAGACGCCGCGAACGCCAGAACTACGAAGGCAGGGGCAAGTTGTTTATGGAATCGCATACCCTTCGTTTAAATCCACTCCGCTAGACTTTCACACTCGAAACCCCGCCGCAATGGCGTTTTGGTTTCTACGGCTGACCACAAATATCACGGGATCGAACGAATCCTGGTGATCGCATTTTGACGGTCTAGTTAGGGTAGAGGCCCGTGGGCTCAGTTTTAGGAGCACGTTATAGAATCCCAGGTAGTCTAAATTTCCAGAGCCCTCCACTAGGCGTCCCCGTAATCATGCCATTGTTTTGGGACTCAAAACCGCTGCTAGTAATATTTTCTGGTTCGAAAGCAGTCTTCAAAATGCATCGTGTGTCATTGCTCACTTTGCAGCGACCGTCGGATGTGTACGTACAGTTGCTGAAGTAGCAGCTGTGCACTCCCGCGTTTTGCTGTGGTTAGTGCAGCCAGCTGAAGCATGCAACATCTGAAGAATATCGAGTATTTGAATAGCTTAATCGACGTTTGAAATAGTCATTTCGACGGCAGTCTAGTAAAGCGAGCAGCACTTAAGCCACGGCCGCATGGACAGCTGGCTGTTAACCAACTGGAAGTCGGCCAGTCCTACATTCCGTCAGCCGGTCTTGCGAAGCTCAAGGCCGGAGCGGCGGAATGATATTTCGATATCGCGTTCTCTAGTTTGAGGGCGCCTACAAGCAGCTGCGTGACCGCTCTCGTTTCGTGTAACGCCGTATGTGTAATATTCTTAAAGCTTACCTGTAGAACTCTATTCTCTTTCTTCACAGGTAACGTTGTTTCCCTGCACTTTAGCGCGCTAGTACGTGTGCCCGCTTTAGTTTTCTTCTAGCAGTACCTGCTTTTAATATCCGTTCACATTATCGGCTTTCTATTGGTTGACATAGCTTAGTAAATGTTTTTCATAGGTGGTGTCCTTTTGCTACAGCGCATTAGTGTTTGGGCGATCTTGAAAGTAAATCTTATGGTGGTTGTGTTGGCTTCAAGGTGTTTGCAGTTAATCATTGTGTAATACTTATTTTAACATTGCAGTGCTGGCGAGACGAGCATTCTGCACCCTTCAGTTGGGAAACCCAGGTATGTCATCATTTTTTTAAAAATCCTAGAAACATTGAAGTGCACACGGATGGGAACAAAATAAGAAAGCCTGCTGTACATAGTGGCAGTGTCTTGTGTTTCATTCTTTCTCGCCGCCTGTGTGATCTGTAATGTTTCTAAAGCTGCAGTACCAACTTGCTCATCAATTCATCCTCATGACAGTTTTTTCACATTTGCGTGAAAAGTTTCATTGCGTGCAGTTAACTAAATTGCCCTGAATTCGACAATTATTTTCAGAGCCAGTTGAATATGCGCATCTGTGATGCAGTCGACGAGGTCGACGGGAAAGATAACGCGGAGGACTCAGTCACCAATGCAGCGACTAATGAGGAGCAAACTTGTGTCATGCTCGCTTCTGAGCAAGCTGCTGTTGTCCCGACCCCGGCTAAATCTAGAGATCTGGCAAGTACAGCCACTGAGATAAGCAACGTTGTCAATGGAGTTGGCATTGCAAAGACCAGCACCTTCAAGCCCTCCCTGGTTAGCAGCAGTGCGTCCTGAACCCAACGTTGGCAGAGTGGCCGGCCCTGAAAACCGACACCTTGAGCAATACTCTAGACAGCTCCACCTTCAAGCATGTCAAATTCAGCAACGGTGTGGAGTCCAGAGTACCGCCGGCCGTTCCAAGTCGTGCCGAGACGAGGGCCGTAGTCGGCGGTAGCCTGCCGAGGGTGATCCACGCGGATCCCAAGGTTCCGGTTGGTGGCAGTGCAGTTGA